TAGTAATATCCGCGCCTACAAGAAGGGCGGATCCCGCGATTTAATAGAAGATTTATTTTATTGGCCGATGAAAGACGGCCATGTTCTCTGTTTCCGAGGGAGGAGCGTTACTACCCGGCACGTCCGGAAGTTTCGCGCCTTGCTCGGGGTCATTTGTCTCCCGGATGAGATACCGTGCAGACGAAGTCCCGGCCGCGCGTTAATTCCGCCGTCGTTAAATAAGTATATTGGTCATTTGTCTCTCGACTCTCCGACGAGATAGACGAAGTCCCGGCCGCGCGTTCAAACCGCCGTCGTAATAAGTAATAAGTACGCGATACGCGATAAAGCGACGCGAATAATTCCGCGAGAAGCGCGAAGACCTATTAAGGTATTAATAATTCGAGTCGGGTTCACCGTAATCCAGTAAATCTCGTTGTTTCCGAACGCCGTAGATAGCAGAATTGCTGAGCGTCGGATTTATTTTATCTGGAAGCGAATTTCTTTTATCGCGAGCGATTTCGTTGAGTCCGCTTGAGCAATCGTGATTCCGATTTCGTTTGCACACCGTCGTGAATTACTTGTAACGCGCGTGGTCCGCGAAACGCGTCGCGTTTGTAATTCCGACAAATTGTACGAATGCAGAGCGAGTGAACGAGTGCGCGTATGTCTTATGATCGTTTTTTAATAAACATTATTTGATAAATTAAAAGCGCGTTCACCCGAATAATTGATCCTGCTTCGTTCCTGCATGCCTTGCGCATCACATACATCGCTATCCGAGATAGACAGGAAGTCGTGAGGCCGAGCAGCGTGCCCGAAGGAAGGACGTCCGACGGCAGCTTTCTGAGAAAAAACCTTCCTTGTTCCTGAGGTCAAACAAGGTGGCGACCGAATAAAGTAAGAAATTCCTATTGAAACATACACGGCATAAAATTGATAAAGTCGGTACTCGCCTAGTAGAGTTTTGAGTAGTAAAATAAAGTTAAATTTGCAAGAATCACGAAAAGACGAGCCAGAAGGGCCTGCGGGAATTGAGGGCTTCGTGATTCGTTGTCCGATAGCCGAAGTAGCGATACGCGTAATTCGATCTTTTCGTTGCGTTGAACCAAAGTCCGGTTACAACCTAACCGCTATTAACCGATTTCCCACGCATTTCTCGAACTTTCTCGAAAAAACGTTTCGTGGTTGACGGTGCCTTGTAACGATGCACGTTGTGTCTTATAGATCTTGTCGGTCGATTCGCGCGTAAAAAGTGAACATGGACAACGATCATTGTATTTTAGTGGAGTTTGTGAATGAAGACTACTCTGTAGCCGTCGGCTACAGAGATTGGTTAATAACCAAATTAAACGATGTATGTTTGCAAAGAGCCATTGAAAAAAAAACCATTGTTGAAATACGGTGGCCTTTATGTAAAATAAAAAGTGCATTACCCATGAAAAAGATTATCAAAGGACTTCAAAAGGAAGATTGGATCTCGGCA